TATTTACGTGGGTGCTTGAGGCTAGTAGTATAGGGATAAAAATTCTTCTCATTGATTTCTTCCAGTGTTTCGTTTGTTTTTCGTTGATATTGGGTTATTCATTTTTTTTTTTTTTAGTTCTTTAAGAATTTCAAGATTAAGTTGTTTTACAGAATTTTTTATAATTGCAGGTCAAATAGAAGATGATTTGATAATTCTTCATTGAACAGTTGGTTTTTTATATGGTTATTAAAAGCTATTTCGAATATTTTGCAAATAAGTCAAAATCGTTTTGGAAAAATAGAATATTCTATATAGATAAGAAATATAACATTTTATGAATAATAAAAATTGATATATTGGTCACTATTTTAAAATGAAAATCCTAAAAAAAAATTTTTGAGACAACCTATTATTAATTTTAATTTTTTGTTTAGTTTCTCGAATAAAAGTTTAGTTTATTATTCGAGATTTCGTCGCGTAATAAAATTTTTGTTTTGAAAATGCTTTCTACTCCATGCATCATATTTTTAAGAACTTTTTCGATGCAGGTCGTGACACAATGAAACATTCACTGACCAACTTTGAATTTGATAGTCACCAACACCCACTTATTTTGATATATGGAGAGGGTTGGTCATGGGTATTGCCAGGTCGACGAAGTTTGGTTGGGAAAAGTGTCAAGTTTAGTTGAACATGGCCGTGAAAGGTATCAAGAATTTATGACACTTGTCGTTATTGAGGATACAAATGTGTGTGTTTTCCATTTTTTTTCTTTTTTTTTTTTTATATTCACGAACGATGCTCACAATACTTTGGTGGTACATTTGCTCGTAGGATTTGATCTATCAATGTTTTCAATGTTTCAACAATGGTTTTAATAAAACTGATATTTAATCAATAATTTTTAATACTAATTATTATTTTTATTATACATATATATTATGATAATTTGTGCTTTGATCACAGCACACACCCAGCATTTTATCATATTCTTTATCTTTAAATGATTTTGCTAAATTATATCTAGAATTTGTTTCTTTAAATCAGTTAATACAGTGATTGATGATATGTATGCAAACGTTTTGAGTAAATCTTAAATATTCTTGAAATTGAATTCATATTGAAAAATATAAATATAATTAAATTTAACATATCATTAAACAGTTTTTATTAATAAATTATTATTATCAGAAAAGTAGTTGATAATATTTTACACGATGAAAGCAATAAGCAATAAAAAAATTAAACAATATAACTAATATTAATATACCACATAACTTAACCTGCCGTTCAAAGAAATACTATTTATTTTTTATAATACAAAATATTTACAAATCCTAAGAAATTAATACTAAATATATTTTCTAATTGAACAAAAAAATTATCTTAATTCTTAATACCTCAATCAATCGATTAAACAAGTACATTATTCTATTCCCATCGAAATCAAGCTATTAAATTGTCATTATTTTAAATAATTGAATAACTTGTTTTTATAGTAATATAATATAACATCACATTACATGCAATGAACACAGGAAGAAATTTATCGTGGGCGTATGAAAAAAGAGAGAGAGAGAGAAAAAAGACAAAAGAATATGCCAAATATCCGATGTTTGATACCGCGAGATATCGATAAACAGCCTCCGTGTGTGTTTGCGCGCGTGTTCAGCTTGCAGCTATTTTTATTCATTACTCTCGGCCCGTCAGCAGGTGTATTTGAGCGAAGGGAACCAAGACGAGGCGAGAAAATGAATCTCGTCGGCCCGGCCATTTAAAATATCGATCGAAATGTAACACGGATCTATTAAACGTTTTGCCCGCCCGCCAATATCGTATTCTCGATCTTAAAGCCCCCCCAGATTGAATTCATTGCGCCGCAGTGTTCGAACAAGTGGAGCATGTCTGCATTCCGCCGCGGATCATTGCCGATAATAATTCCCTCCCCTCCCCTCCAAGTTTTCGAAAGGGGTGCAACAAAGGGGAATTGGGACATGAAATCGAAGGGAATCGACTTTGCCCCTCTGTGTTTCATCGTGTAGATGTTTGTTAAAAATTCTCTGAGATGAGACGGGAGATGAGACTTGGAAAATTCAGAGGGATATGAAATCGAAGAGAATCGACTTTAGGCGTTCTTTGTCTCGTGGTGCGCGGAGAATGGTCGGTTGTTGGGGTAAGCAGAGAGTAGTGTAATTTCAGGGATGAAATTTGGAGAATCGAGAGGAGGGTGGAAGAGATTGAAATTTGTTTCATGTCGTATCGTTTAGGTTTAAAATTTAAAGGAAAAAAAAAAAAAAAATGAAAAAAATGAACGAAAGTTAGAAAATTCAGAGAAATATGAAATTAAAAGAGAATCGACTTTACGTATTCTCTGTTTCATAGAAAGAATGTAGAAAGAATGGATGCTTGTTGAAATGTAGGAACGAATGATTCAGGGAAATGAAATTTGGAAAATTCAGATGAAAAGAGTGAATCGTGAATGACTTTATCCTTTGTTTCATCGCGCATAGTGCGAATGCTTGTTAAAATTCGGAGATAATCGATATGATGAAATTTGGAAAATTCAGAGATGAGCATGGAATCAAAGAGAATCGAGTTTTACGATTTTATTTTATGCTGCATGGTGAGAATATTTGTTAAAATTTAGAGATAATTGATACGAGGAATAAAATTTAGAAAATTCAGGAAACGGAATCGACTTTATGCTCCGTTTCATCCTGCGTTGTGCAAATATTTGTTAAAATTTAAAAAAAAAAAAAAAATGATTCGGAAGTATTTAGAAAATTTTGTGAAACGTGAATTGGGAAAACTCTTTTTCTTTTTTAATCCCCCTTGTTCCATCGCATCTTTTATTTACGTTTATTAAAATCTGAGAAGAATTCCTCGTCTGTTTCATCGTATCTTCACACAACAATTTTTCTTAGATCCTTTATTTAAATTTAGAGAAGAATGAAATTCAAGAAAATCGATTTTATTCAATGTAAACATCGTGTAGGTATTTGTTAAAATCTAGAATCACGAATGGTTCAGAAATGAAATGTAGAAAATTCAGAAGATGGAATGGATGCAGAAAACCGATCACGTTTCACAGCAGATATGTTTTTATTCGATTCTCGGAAATCGTGTGATTTTAGAATAAAAATTGGATACTTGGATACTAGATATTTTACGAGAATAGAAAATATCCGCATCAAGTATCTTTAAGTACAGTGTCGCCTAAATATGGAATATTCTCTCGTCCATCTTAAATCTCTCTTAGCATTTTTTTCAAGAAACTGCATCCCCTTGAAAAAGCACGTTATAACATAAAAATACATTCGCTTTTTCCATGCGAAAATATACAGGAGTAGAGAGAAATGGAAGGAGAAAAGGAGGATACAGGAGGAATATTTTATTCAAAAAAATTCTTATCGCTCCACCTTCTTTAATTTAAATTTCTAATGACCGGTGTCCGCGAATATCGTGTACTCTACGAATTGCATATCGAAAAAGGATGTGCAACGAGAATAACTCGATCGTCTGTGCGCAATTGCTGAATTTGTTTGTTTGCGTTATAAGAGCCTCGATAAGATGGTTAAAAAGCTTCACTACTAATAACATATTTGTGCAATTGTCGCGCACAGATATTAAAAGAAACAAAAAGACAATCGTTCGTTCCATCCTTTAAATTCTCGTGATCTCTTCTTTTTCTCCCAACTTGATTATTCCCGCTACACGTTTCTTTCCCACCAAAAAAAAAAAACAATTTCCAACGAAAATACTTTTTCCTCTCCTCTTTTTCTCATCCCTCCCGTTTACCACCAATGTTATTTCCCTCGTTATATCTCGCCTTAACCCCCTTACCCAGTTAGTTTTCGTTTCCTCGGATCATTCCTTCCATTAACGAACGTTCTTCCCATTTTCCTCGAAGCGGAGAAAGAAACGCCGTTAAAACCGTGTTACCTGTTAAAGTTTACCTCGAGAAACTTTTTCACCCCCTCGGTGACGGCGAGAAAAAGAGAGAATCTCGGGGGAAGAGAAACGGCGAGTCGAAGGAGGGGAGGAAAAAAAAAAAAAAGGCGTTTAAAAGTCTCACGGACTTGACACGTATGATGACGCAAAGCTGGCGTGTTATAGATACATCCGAGAATATTATCCGCGCGAAAGCTTACGCATTTGGGAAATTTTAGTGTCACCGATCAAGGATTACCTTTCGTTCGGATCACTTTGATCCGTCGCGCGTAAAATCGTAAAGGCAAAAGGAGGGGAAAAAATAAGCGGATACGGACGGAAGGGAGCTGGTGAAAGGCAAAATACCTCCGCAGCAGGATTTACAGAGATAAAGAGAGAGAGAGACACTTAAAACCAGCATCTCCATCCCCATTATTTTCCATATGGCCTTTCAAACGAGTAGAACGACTCACTTTGAAAAGATTGCACGCGGAGCGCAAAGCGTTTAGCAAAGCGCTTCGATTGATGAAAGAGAGATTGCAACGATTCCTGCTAGTCGAGTCATTGTAATCTTGCAACGACGCCTCTAGCCCGCGTTTACGAATCAATCTTAACCCTTTATCGATCCTCTTTCGTGTATTTTTAACTGATTCTCAGAACTGGTCCAAACCGTGAAAACGAGAGAGTAGCGTGTCGAGTGATCGAAACACGAGTTATTACAACAATTTGGAATTATTTAAACCATGGTATACACAAGTCATGATCCTTTGTTCATTAATACGTTCTAGTATATATCTGTCTCTAAATTACACCTTTTCTTTATTTTACCTATTATTAATCTCGATTTTTCTCCTAATATTTATTTTCCTATAATAAAAAATATATTTTTTTTACAAATTGGAAAAGAAACCGTATCAAATCTCGCATTAGAACTTATTTAACTCTTGGCAAACGAATAACGAGACACGCTATAATAAGCGCGCGTGCGGTATAAACGGAATGGAAATTTAGCTTTAGATCGGAAGAAAGCGAATCTCGTTTAATCAGACGGAATGTTCGCACCCGTTAACGAGCACCCATTGTTCCAGAGAGCGGGGTCGACAACATGAACTCGAGCGGGGAATCAGGCGGGACGATGACCGAGGAGACAGGCTGCGGCCCGCCGGAAGAGGAAACAGGCTCGAACTTGCCAGTTTGGGAAGCCGCGGCCGCCTCATTGACGCTTGGCTTCCTTGTCCTCGCCACGGTGTTGGGGAACGCGCTCGTGATCCTGAGCGTGTTCACGTACAGGCCCCTACGAATCGTTCAGAACTTCTTTATCGTGTCTTTAGCTGTCGCGGATCTCGCGGTCGCGATCCTCGTGATGCCGTTCAACGTCGCCTACCTCCTCCTCGGCAAGTGGATATTCGGCATACACCTGTGCAAATTATGGCTGACCTGCGACGTGCTCTGCTGCACGGCCAGCATATTGAATCTGTGCGCGATCGCGCTCGACCGTTACTGGGCGATCACCGACCCCATCAATTACGCCCAGAAACGTACCCTGAAGAGAGTTCTGGCCACGATAGCCGGGGTTTGGATCCTGTCGGGGGCGATCAGCTCGCCCCCCCTCGCCGGTTGGAACGACTGGCCCGAGGAGTTGGAGCCAGGCACACCCTGCCAATTGACCAGGAGGCAGGGATACGTGATCTACTCCTCGCTCGGCTCCTTCTTCATCCCGTTGCTGTTGATGAGCCTCGTCTATCTCGAGATATATCTGGCAACTAGGAGGCGGTTGAGGGAGCGCGCAAGGCAAAGCAGAATAAACGCTGTCCAGTCGACCAGGCATCGCGAGGCGGACGACGCCGAGGAGTCCGTGAGCTCGGAGACGAATCATAACGAGAGATCGACCCCTCGGTCGCACGCGAAGCCGTCGTTGATCGACGACGAGCCGACCGAGGTGACGATAGGCGGCGGTGGAACCACGTCCTCGAGGCGGACGACGGGGAGCAGGGCACCGGCGACCACGACAACGGTTTACCAATTCATCGAGGAAAGGCAGAGGATCTCGTTGTCGAAGGAGAGGCGAGCCGCGAGGACGCTGGGCGTGATAATGGGCGTGTTCGTCGTATGCTGGTTACCCTTCTTTCTTATGTACGTGATCGTCCCGTTCTGCCCTGCTTGCTGCCCCTCCGATCGAATGGTCTACTTCATCACGTGGCTCGGTTACGTGAACAGCGCCCTGAACCCGCTCATCTACACGATCTTCAACCTCGACTACAGGAGGGCATTCAGGAGGTTGTTGCGCATTCGTTGAACAGTTGGGCTGGCAACGCTTGTTTATTGTATTATTGCGAAATTGTGGGAAACGAGATTTGCCGGCAACAGTTCCCCAGAATACGCTCATCGAGACAACGGGGGAGATCCCTCGGCCCCGCTTGGGATTGGCCGTCGAGGAAGACGAGAAAGAAGATTGGAGTTCGGCTGAGTTTTTCCAGAATGATCGAGAGAAAGCGCCACGAGGCGCTCGGTCGATTACACGATTCCAACCGATTTCTTTCCGGAACCGCGAAGAATCAAAAATCAAACTCGAGGATTCTTCAGGGTTCTTCTTACGAAAGGAGAGAAAGAATCGTGGTCGAAGAGGAGAAAAATGTAAAAAGTTTATTTTTCGCGTTTATTGGAAAAGGAGAAATATGGTTAGTGTTAATAGTCGTGGATTATTCACGAGCGTCCATTTTCGTCGAAACGAAGGGAATTGAGAGTTCGATCGAAGATTAAGCGATCAAAAGGGCGAACACGATAGTCTAATTTAGCGACGATATTCACTCCCAGAAGAGTCGTTCCATTAAACTTGTTCCATTAATCCTGCGAGGAAGCGAGCGAGCGCGGGATAAGGAATTTTAAGGAAATGAAGTCGCCGCCCCTGTTCGATTGTCCTATACCTCATTTCATCCGTCGTTACGCGTTGAGTTTAGCTGAACGATAATTCACCGCTATCTTCGATCAGTCATGAATAATGGAAATCGGTGAATTCGATCGTCGCAACTCGGCCGTCTCGATTCGAACAAGACCGTAAGACCTTCGAATGAATTGAACGGAGGGGAGAGGTTGTAGTGGAGGAGGCGTCGTGTAAAAATTCGATTTCGACGTCGAGTCGACCGTTCCATTTCCTAAGGAGCCTTGTAAAATATTGCTCTCCCGAGAATTCGAATATTCTTGATGAATCGATACGGAATATGGCGAGCCTTTTTTAAATTTCTTTCGCCCAGCTTCCAGCTTCCTTTCGTTATCCTCTCCTTGCATAATAGATAGGATCGCGTGGGGTTAGGTTAGGTTGTTGCGCATGAAATCGTCAAAATTTCTTAAAATTTCGTGAAAATTTCGTGTCACTGGAATTTCCGCGTGTTAATCTTAAGTTTGAGACTCAACTGTAACAAATTTTTGGGAATGAATGAATGAAACTTTTGAAGAGGTTACATCTTACAAAGAAATCTGTATAAAATCGGTATAAAAAAATTTAAGTTACGAAACTAAAAGTTAAAGATATATTCTATATCAAGAATTCGATAATTTCATTTGCAACAGCCTAATTCGACGAAAAAAAAAAAGAGAAGAACGAAACGGCCAAGACTCTTCTCGTCGCCAATCTCAAAAGTCGAGCAGAGAAATTCACGTTTACGAATAGGAATTTTCTACGAAACCGACCAAGACTCCAGTTAAGATGTTTTAGAAGATAGAAATTACGTATCCTAGGTGGTATACAAGCACGTGTGTACATTGTATCTCACCTAAATGTCGATGGCGCACAAGGTGATTACAACCCCGTTCGACATCACGTGACGGTCTTTTAATAGAGAAAATCGAGCGGGTGTTTTATTCGCGGAACAATGGGGACAGTTACCCTCCTCCCGATCGTCATTCTGTTAAGTAGTCCTCCTGAAAAAGAACGTTTTGTTTGATGTCGGCTGCTTGCTTCCTCGATTGCAATATTTTCCATCCTTCAAAGAATTCTTCCGGGCAGAGTGTCCGTGAGATTTACGAATTCATGGCCATAGAGAATTGGCAATTGGAAATCTCGATGGATCGTAACCAAGATTGTTTCTTTGAGAAAGTAAAATTTTTTTTTTTTTTTTTATTTATTTTCGAAATGTCAATTTATAGAATCCTACGAAAACGTAACACGATGATGATCTTATTAATTACAGTTTTGCATAGTAATCCCGATTTGCATAGTTATTTTTATCGCAAGAATTTTCTTTTTCGTGTCGTTAAATTGTATCATAATGTGTCATATTATCCAAAATTTTATTTATTTAAGATTGATCTTATTAATTAATTGAAAATTATTTTTGTCATACGTATTATGTATATTTCACGTCTTTTTCGATTTAAGTCCATTTTAAAATTAATTGGAACATACAGTTTTTGATCAAAAAAGTAGGATCATTCGCGATTTTTAACATTTTTTTGTTTTTAATAAAATTTAAAGACCTAAACGAAATTAAATTGTATCAATTATTCAGATTAATAATAATAATAATTTATATTATGATTTATAAGGTGATCAAAAATAAAGAATAAAACTGTGCATACAGAGCATAGAAAGAATACACGCTATAATAAAAGCAAAGAAAGGAAACTCAAATCATTAACTATTAAATAAACATAAATATAATAATCTAAATTAAACGTTAATAAAGATTATTCGAGCGATTAAAAGCATGAAAAATATTGAAAGTAGAACGATCCTAATTCTTTTTTTCCAAAAAAAAAAAAAAAATGCAAAGCAAATAATTTCCATAATTTTTTATTTTAGGATTCTATAAAAATACATAAGATATCGATTGATTTGAAAAATTTCAAATCGATGGACAAAACGATTTTCTACACCGAGAATTCTCTCTTGTGCTCCCACGAGCACGATCACGGTGTAATGGACAAGTAGACCTCGTTACGTGGATAGCCGTGGCGTAACGTGATTGGTCGATTTTTCTTGGAAAGCGTGGCGTGACCGGTCCCGAGGAAAAACTTTCTCAAGAGAAAGAACATTGATCATCGGGAGGAGGGGAAACTAGAATTCCATTTTCTTTTTATTTTTTATTTATTTATTTTTTTTTTTTTCTTAGCAACGACCGTGAGATATCCCTAAATGTGCGGTAGACGTTAATCTTAATCCTATTCATTATCAATCGCAAGTGAATATCGGTTGTGAATATATCGAATAACAAAAGGAAAATCGAAGGAGTGCGGGTCGTCGTAAGAAAAGAGGGAGGGGAAAAAGAAAAAAAAAAAAGAATAAGAGAACAAATTATTACACGGAAGCCACAGACGAGGACGTCAAAAAAAGAGAAAAAGAGAGAGAAATGTCACGACGGTCTGCATGTATCTCTGTATAAAAAATTACATTTAAGTCGCCTCCAATCTTCTTCCCATTGACACGCAGTTTAAAGCGCACACGAATCGTGTACAGAGCGCGTTCACGCGCGAACCGAATACAAAAGTTGGCTCCTCGTGCATCGGTTATTCGTCGATGCGTCGAAACGTTGGGGGAAAAAAATCATTCTCTAATGGGAAAAAAAAAAAAAGAAAAAAAAAGAAAAAAGAAAAAAGTATAAAAAAAAAAAATATTCCTCGATACATATCGAAGATTGAAATCGTTAACAGTTGAAATCGCCATCGTTTATTAAGCGCGATGATTTGTGCGTATAATAATATTAAGCGTAGCGTACGACGAATCAGTTATTCGTTAATAGGACGGCGAGGACAATGGGGTTTACCGGTTGGCGTGTCGTCGATGATCGGATTCGCGCGTTTGTCTCGTATCGTTGAATGATCGAAGCGCGAGGAGTTAAATTAAAACGAGTCGTTACCGATTAACGAGGGAATAGGTGACATGTTTGCCGTCCCCTCGAGTGCCGCGCCAAATCAAATAAAGAAACACGAAGGTAAAAAAAAAAAAAAAAAAAAAAAAAAANAAAAAGGAAAAAAAAGAAGGAAAAAAAAGAGGAAAAGTAATGGAAAAAGAGGGGAGGGGGAGGGGAGAGGGGAGGAAGGTGGAGGAGAAAAAAAAAGAAGAACAAGAAAGATATTAGTAGGGAGCGTGTAACTCGTAGGTAACTCGTGTGTGAAAGAATATCGCGCGTATAAGGTTTGGTTTATTCAAAAACCACCTCGACCTCGTCACCACAGGGCGCTTTATAATAAGGTTGTGATAAGGTTGTGAGAAACACGTTCGTAGCCGTGCTACGAACACACCACAAGATTTTTAATTATTAGGTTAGACAAATGAACTTATTACTTTATTCGTGGCACTGTCCAAACGACGCGGCACGGAATTCCTATCCAAGAGAGGATTAAAACGCGACGCTTGAACAATTTTAAACTGGACCGGATCGGTTGATCTTAAGCTCGAGTTTCCTTTTAAAAGTAAAATTGCTAAAATTCCTAAATTTCCCTCCCCCCATTCTTTCATTCTGCTCTCTTTGCTTCTTTGTTTTCTTTATCGTGTCGTCAAGGTTACCGCCTTCTTTCATTCCCTTCTAAAAATGGCGAACTTTTTTTCTCTCGTGCTGTTCTTCGCTCTATTCGCGCTATTTTTTTTTCTTTCATTCTTTTCTTTTTTTTTTTTTTTTTTTTTTTTTTTCTTTCTTTTACACGCGTACCTCCCTTTTCATAGTGGCAAACTCTGTTAACGTGACAGTGACTATTACGAGAGGCTGACTCGATTTCTGGCAAAGCTGGACTTCACATTCTCTCGAAGTGCTCGTAAAACGTGAGCTATACGGTTGCTGCTCCCTTCCTCCTCTATTAAGCTCGTAAACGAGGGGGTCAGGGAAATCGGTTATCGTAAATTTTCTCCATTGCTGCTTTTACCGTCAATTGAATACATTCAACGATCGAAGAACGATCTCGTCAAATCCAATGATCGCCGATCAGGGCGATTATTCCTTCCCTTTCTCTATATCATTGTCTATTTTCGAGCAATTTTTTGATAGCTACCCGCTATCATTTCGATGAGATTATCTTCCCTATATATTATATAACATTGCTCTGTATTGAATTAAAATACCTATAAAACATTTTTATTTCACTTTTAATTTTTCTTTTTTCATTCTATCTCTTTCTTTTTTTTTTTTTTTTTAAATGAATATTTAAAATATTTCAGCAACACGTGTTTCAACACGCTCGCATTTAAAAACGACTGGCAATCAATACGTGATACCCGCATCGTAAAAAAAAAGATCCCATGCGAAATTTGTTTCGAGGCAACTTTCCTATCATTCGTTTTTCTATCGAAGAAGAACGAAAGAAATATGCGAAGCGGAAAATAGAAAATAGAAAGAGAAATAAAAAAAAAATAAATAAATAAATAAAAATTGGGGAAAAAATATTTCGGATAAAAAAATATTTTATTCTGATATATCGCGTTTTTTTATTCGCCGATACGAGCATAGTTTCCATTTATACGTTCCTTTCTTTCTTCTTTCTTTTTTCT